AAGACGGCTGAACTTACGTTTCATTTTTTCTTATGGATTTTAAATTATATATTTACAGGCATTTCTTTCCAGCCCTGTACATTTTTAAACGTGAATTATGACGGCACGTACGCTGTAACGAAACTTTGTGACGTTATTCGCTTCGTATTAACGAAAATAGTTTAAAATCGTTTAAGCTAACTTTAGGGTGGGCGATTTAAGTTAGTTTCGAAGTTGATCTTTACATTTCGGCAAACTTTTATGTGCATTTGCGTTCGAAACACAAATAGAATTCGATTTAAAAGTTAAAGCGAATATGTGTCCGGTCAAATCAAAGAAAATAGAGTGAAACAAAAACGATCCCGGGTGTTCTTAAAGTTACTTTTGATTAGGGCTTCGGGGTGAAGTTCTTTGCGTAACAGTTTGTCGGCACCGGCCATTTGGGAGATGAATTTTGCAACATTGCCTACATCAAGAATCCGGAGGGTAATTCGGTGGACCATACGAAGCGCACTCGTCCTGTGTTTGCAGACTACTATAAATTTTCAGCTTAGAAAACGGTTGATGGGACAGCCAATTCTAATCGAGTTGCAGAGTTACCCACCAGGTACAAATTGACATTAAAATTTCAGCCTTACACTCTAGCGTTCTCACATCAGAACTTAATTTTCCTACGCGAAAATATACCCCGGTTTTAATTAACATTTGACGCCGTTAGTTCTTTTATAATTAGCGTTGTTACTAACAATACATTAATATGCACAGGTAATTTTCGCTCCGCACGCCCGTTTTTTTTTTTCGAAATCAACATTTTAGGGCAAATTCGAGAGCGCTCCTATCCGTAATGTTGTAAATTAGTTTGTGAAACACTCTGCCTAGAAATGGCGCCTATTTTTATCTGTTATAACTTACCTAACGACATTTTCTCTTAAAGGGCATCGTTAAAACTGTTACATTTTCAAGTTGAAAAAAATTTCACTATATTGAAACGAATATTAGGGTAATTGTATTTCTATAACGTGGCCCTTGTATCGAAGATTTTCAGAACCCGAAAAAAAAAAACGTTATTGAATTTACTTATATTTGCATATATTTTTGAATTCCTTTGAACTGTCCTGATATTTTTGTATATAATGTCCCATATCTAAGTCTAAGCGTTTCTGACATATTTTGAATTTAAGTAAAAAGTGACTTTTGTAGCTCTAAATATATCTATCGATTTCTCCGATGGAAATCCTATACAATATATTTGGGATTGGTTTCTTCATAAATGGGGATCTGCTGGATTTGCTGATATTTTGAAAATACATAAATTCAAGGTGGTTAAAAACTAACATGAAAAATCGTTAAATTTTAATAATTTTTGGTATTTAAAATAAAGCGACTTTGTGCTATATTTCGAAATATTAGCAAAAAAATGTTTTTGCATCAAAAAAATACTAAAAGGTTATTGATTGAAAATTAATTAGCAAACAATCGAGCACTACAGAAATTGCACCTACTATTAACTCTCGTTTGACGATTTCAATCTCCTAAATTATACCCCGTAATTAAAGTTATTGTTTAAATTCTAAAAATGGAACAAATTTTGGACAGAAGGATTTAAGGATTTTAGGACCATAAGGGATAGGCAAAAATTAGAAAACTTTTTATTATAATAAATCTCATTTTTATATTATTACAATTGTATTTTTTTTCAGGATGTTGCAAATATTAATTTTTCTCTTTACTATGAGCATTTTCTCCATTAATTAGTTTTTATAGAAAAACCTTTTATATATTGAAGAACATTTTTTTGCATTAAATTAACCATAACAATAAGCAATGGCTAAGTTAAGTGGCACTTTCTGCAGGACTAGATTTTTTTGTAGTGACAAATTTTCAATGAAAAAACGTTTTATTATTAACATTTCGAAATGTACACTTTTTTTTCAAATAGGAAAACAAATTCAAATGCGAAAAATTGTGTGTTTCGATTTGAAAACAAAAGCTTTTATAATTCAGATTTTTAATGTTAGTTTTGGTTAGTTGTTTGCTTTTAAAATATAGACATATAATTAATGTAGATCCCTTATATATTTAGACTAACAAACGCCACTTTTGACATAAAATTCAGTAGCTGTATAGGAAACATAGTAGTTTATTAATTATAGCGATATTGTACATACGGCCCTCATTTTGATAAGCATTGCAGCTCAATGAAATTCTTCACACCAATAATATTATAGCCTTCGGCGACTTTAATGCTCGGGAATATGTTAACCATAGCAACAACTTTTACTATAAATTGCATATTAGATTTTTTAAAATGAAACAGTACTTGATTTGGTAGTGAAGATCATCCTGCATTGACTATTCGTGTCCCTCAACTCACAATGAAGCGTGAATTCACAACTAATAGACTCCAAAAGTGTTACAATTTCAGAAAGACAACTTAAAATACATTATATGCTGAACTTCTACACACTAATTGAGAATTTTTGGTTTAAATTGTTGAAGCGTTCCAGAAGTTTATGGAAAAATAATATGACATTTTTGTTAGAAATATAATTTTCAATAATTACACCCGTAAATATCCTACGTGATATAAAACAGAATGCAAAAATTCACAAAAAAAAACGGTGTAACCACTTACCTTATCTATTTTCAATGGTTAAGATATAAGATAAAATCTCATCTCAAAACCGCTTATGAAGCATATCTTGAAGAATACAGCAAAGCGGCTGTGATGATCCTCGTGCATTTTGATAATAGATACAATTCTCTCGTCCTAGTCGTAAATTAAAGAATAAAATGATATGCATTGTATTAATGTTTGCTCTAAACTTTTGCAAGTGATATAGTGATATAGCCCCTTTTTTTGGAATTTATCTCCGACATTTCAAGGAATCAAGTGATAAAAGAAGTCGCGTAAGTAATTACAGACCAATCTATTCTGTATGACCGCATTTTCAACTATGTAAAGAACATTATCTCACCAAATCAGCATGATTTTAATAATTCCCGGTCTGCGGTTACTAATCTAATACAGTTTACAGAGTATACAGCGTGAGTACTAAATAATTAAGGACGGGTAGATGTAAACTTCAGTACGCGTTGCTTGAAATTTTGAAACACCAAGTGTTCAAAACTGATGATGCATATTCACCGAGAGGTTTATATTATGATTTTATGATTAGTCTTGAACAAAGGCGAGGGTGCGTATCAGTTATCTTCATTTATAAATTATTACATACCGGTATAAACTATCCGACGGCCAGAACAAACCTGTTCTATAAATGTAGCCTGTCCTAGTTGTAATAATTTGTCGAATGTATGCGACATATTTAACTGCAGACTAAACATATAAATGTAATCTTTGTTTTGCTATTACTATATATTATTATTATTATTATTATTATTATTATTATTACTAGAATACGTCAGAAATATAGGTGTAGAACTTTTCCGAAGAATGTAAAAAAACATTAAATATACAAGGTGTTCAATTTAAAAGAAAAAGGTTGTTACTTGTACACGAAAATGAAAACATCCGTAATATTTTTCAAAGTATAAGTGAATCCCAACAACTTTGATATTTTTTGCAGATTTTGAGATTTTAACCGGCCCACCCTGTACAATACATGCAAGGTTTTGAGTGACGTGTGTTTTCTCTTGAGACTGTTGTACCCGTTATCCGGCTTTTACCCTTTAGTAACCGCTCCCATTGGCGGTTACCCAACCCTATTTTCATTTATCCAGCATTAAATAATAAAGTCAAATTTGATGCACTTAATTAATTTGGTTGAATTTTATTTGAAACAATTTAACCGGTCGCTTTTCTAAAAAATAAAATTCCCCGCTTCCCCGACGCTTAACCAATTGAAATAATTTTGCATAATTCAATTACCCATGGTGTGACAGATTGAGTTAGATCCGATACAATATTGCTAATGGTAGCAATCACCCCAGTCCGAATTCTCGTCATATTCGATTGTAACAATAATTTCACGTTGTAAGTTAATTATGAAACAACATTATTTCTGTATTGATCAATGGCGAATATTAATACAAGCAGGCATTTAGAGGGGACTGGCATATCGCTCGGTTTAATGTCAAAATGGGGTTTAAAAACTTTCGGTTACGTACGAAGCGAGTCTAGTTTTACATTCCCATTTCCGCTATTTGTCTTCGTCCGTTAAAATTCTAGCTTAACTCGTTACAAATTTTCGAGCAATAAAAGAACTTTAAACGCCCCTCTTGTTATCGATTAAAGTTTTAAAAGAGCAACTTCTATTTGTGCAGATTCAAATCCTATTTCATTTGAATTTTGTGCTGCTGGCACTTTCTGATGCAAATAACTTTTCACATTCGCGTTTGCAAGATTAATCGCGTGAAAATATCAAAAAGTGTTGACATACTTAAAAATTTAACCAACAGGTTTTGGGATAAACACTTTAATTAGTGGCGAAAAGTAAATATCATGTCCCGGATTAAACCCGTACCGTCGTTCTCTCAGCGTTTAAAAGCTTCAAGTGAAGCTACTTGCTTTTTCCGGTTAAATAAATTTATTTATTCAAAATTTCTCGGCGTTCGAATTTTCTTAACGGAAAACTTGAACAGCATATCTGACGAGCCCTCTTTAAAGACTTTAATTTGCATATGATTTTTTCGTTCTATGTCGGATTATTATTTTTGTACTTGCTTCGGTGCTCTTCTGGGACATTTATATTTATTACGAAACCAAAGTTTTCCGACAAGGAAAAATACGAGCGAATTTTTTCAAACGCGCAACCTTCAGAACGTCAGATTTACTATTACATCCCAGTGGGTTTTCTTAAAAAGTTTTCCTACAAAACTTGTTTTCATTTTCGCAGTTGACGCAACGCAACCAAATTAGAACAAAGACACTAAATTCTTAAAGATATTAAGTAGTTAGTTTCACGTGTTTAACTTAGTAGAATCAATAATCTTAAAAATATATATATTTAAGTGACACTCAATATTTGGAAATTTGGAATGCGGCCGTCTTTGACACTCACCCTCATTTTTCGTAGTCGGTGGTTTCCTGGTAGCCCAATTAGTCCGAATGCTCCGACTGCCTAACCATTGTCCGTTCATTGCTGCTATAGCACTCTCAGCTTCCTGGAGAAGAAAAACGATCGCTTTAACTAAACCATGTCTCAAATTATCGATTGCTTGTTTGAGAACTAATTAATAATGCAATTACTAACCCAATAACGTAAACAGCAAGGAAGTTCAGGGCTATAGTTCATAGGCGAGACAGTCCAAATAAAAATCGGTAAAAGCAAATACTGAGTATCCTGAGTTTTTCATATTGTTACAGTCGTTACTGTAGTATACTGTGTTATTTCATTTTGAATCGTCTTTCGTCCGATGATAGCGCAAGCTAGTGCTAATTTTAATGGCTGTTTGAAGTTGTTACAAGTACACGTGTACATACTGCAACCATAAAAAGGTCTCTGAACCTGTACAAATATTATGCACTAAATCAGAGACGATTTGACGCGGAAAGGGATCGTTCTGACACCTAGTATTTTCTTTTGCCTTTAATAATTAATTTATTCGGTTGTTTGTTAAAAAAAATCACCGGTTCCGAAAATATGACGTTTAGAAAACATCAGGAACGTAATTTTATTGCCCGATGTTTCCTGTTTCTCCCGATGGCCCTCTTTTTCCGTATTTTTTTTTACGTTGGAATCGAATTTGGTTCCCCGGTGGCCCGAATCGTTCACAAAATCTGAAGTGGGAACGTTCCCTGGTATTTATATTTGTTATGCGACTCTTTTATTAGATCCATTCCATTCTGACATTTGCTTATTTTAAAATCATTGACGTGAGAACTATATCACAAACCAATATTTCAAGTAGGGTGTTTAGAACAATTGCTGGGATAAAGCCGCATATTAAGACATTTTTTGTTGTTCTCCAGAAAATCATATATGATAATGATAAACATATAACAAAAAGTGATAAAAAAAACAAAAAGAGCATTGTGAATGCTATGCTAGTTGTTATTTGGGCATAAAGCTAAAAACTAATATTTCAGAACTATTATTGTTTCTTTCGAAGACCGGAAAGAGGAAATGTACTCACGGTTCGTCAATTTTTAGGTTTCTAAGACTAAGACCCCCTTTTTGCCCCAGTCGGTAACAGGCACAAAATATTTATATTCCCCACAGGACAAGAATTCGACTGTCGCTAACATCTATACAACGACAATGTATCAAGTTAGATGTTTTTAAATAATTCAGGCTTAATGTCCATCTGTAGATAGTTATCTGTAAAAATGGTTTTGATAACTAGTCATTATCATAAGGTTGTATATTAAAAATCCGCCTAGTTTCAAGATGGAAGCATGACAATATTCATTCTCACGTCGTCGAAGTTATGACCTTTTTAGTATGCGAGTCTAGCTTCTATTTGGATGCCTAGTAGTATTCCAATGTTATAATGTTAGTTCTCAAAATCAAGGCGCGGGTTTCTTTAGTTTAAGTTCTACGCGAAAAAAATTTGCATTTATATTACGAACAAGTAACAACTCACGACAGAACATTATAAGTAATATATTCATAGCGAGACAAAATTCGACTCAACTTACTTACCCCTTTCTTAATAAAGGATACGAAACCATACCCCTTTGATTTCAGCGTCTGCGGATCTCGAACCACACGACAGTCTCTGGAAGAAAAAATCGGGCAAATTTAGTAACACTTCCACGTAGTTCAACGCTGACGAATAATGCGCCATACAAAGGAAAAACTCAAAATATATTGAGTACTACGTTTTACGAGTTTCCCCTTATGCATAGTTTATAAATTAGCTTGTTTTTAACCACCGAAGGGGATATATGCGGCGGACGCTATTCTCCATTATAAATATTATATCATTTTTGCCTTTGTTCTTTTTTCCATTGGGGCTTGCTGGAAATTTTTCCTTTAGCGAAACTAATGGTTTAGAAGTTACAGTCAAATTGTTAAAAAAGCAATGCAGGGGCTTATTATGTGGTACTTTTCAATACGTACGTATTCAGTGCATATGAAAATGTGTTTTAGGCAGTCAAGAGTTAATACAATCAAAAAAATGAGAGTCAGCTCACTTACTCAATGTTATAGTTTTTGAAAATGTCCATTGCGAGGTACATTTTTTCGTTTATCTAACATCGTCAAATCGACAGGTTTAAAAAAAGTAACACATTGACCATTATATTAAATCCGCAGCAATTGGTATTTGATTTATTAAATATTTGCTATTCCGGCAATAATGTTTACATAACATTAAATTGTGTCAACGTTCAATATTGATATACATATTATTCGGAGGTATCAAGCAATTCACATTGTGTTTGCCGTTAGCGTCAACCGGAATTATCGCGAAAGGTTGTCATTTTTTTTAGTGCATCGGCTTTACTCGTTCCCACGGAATAATTACCACCTTAAAATTAAAATAACCGCTGTTTTTGACGCAGTTCTACTTCACGGAAACAAATTGCCAAGCCCGGAGTATATTTCTTAATAATGAACAGCCAAACGTTTGGAAGTGGCAGTAAAAAATTTGCATATTTTTAAAAATAAATCAACCCCGAACATTTTCAGACTATAAAGTTTTAAAATCCTTTACTTCTCGGCGGTTTACAGACAGGATTAAATTCAACTTTGTAATTCTAATAAGAATATTCATCTTTCGTCGATTTCGCCGACAAATTTTGTTATTGCGTTCTTTTTTGGGTTTACTTGTTTTTGATTGCACTTCTGGATGTAGAGGAGAAACGCTGTTTACTCGATGGTCGTGGAGAAATTAATTCCACTTTCATTCAATCGTTTTACTGCCAGTTATATGCCAACATAAATTTATGAGCACTATGTATGAAGTTTACTACATGCTTCTGCCGGATTTTACGCAGCATGGTGCCAGTATTAAATACCGTTGCTATTCTGGGAATTTAAAGCAAAAATTAGTATAGCCGTCACGCAGGAATAGGTACCAAAAATTCCATTAATAATTATGCAATGAAATAAAAATGAAGGTAAATTTTTAATTAACAAAAATTTATCTGAATTGACTATAAAAGAATTTTAAACGTGTTTTGATAATAACAAAAGGAAAATATATTAGGGTTTATTTTTCCTTAGGCTTAATTTGTTAAGTGTATTGCAATCCAAGCTTAATTTGCGGCATTGTCTAACACGTAGCAAGATGCTGAAGATGGAAATGTAATTAACAAGTTAAATTAGAACAAACGATGTTCAGATTTTGACAAATTGTTGTAGGAAATTATCTTATAAAGAAGATTATAATCTTCCGATATCTAGATACAATCAACGGCTAAAATATGGAACAAATTTTCCTTGTTTTATATTTTCTAAAGTCCATATTACAACTTGGTATCGACATCTACTTTTTGACCCACCCTGTATATTTTCTGTTTACTGTAAATAATACTCAAGAAATCATCCAATATCTGATTTTTAAATGAATTTGGTTCATATTTTAAACGCTCACTACATATAAAAAGTCGCAACAGTTTTTGCAGAGTTTTTAAATTTAGGTCTAACAACCATTCAAATCCAATTGGTCATTAGGTAATAACTTCTCTAAAGATTTAAAAAGTTTAGTTTCTGACATTTTCGTGCACTTTGTACAATTACAAAATTATTTTCCATTTCTGAATTTATGACATAAATAAAATCAGAACATTCATTTTTATGCGCTCTTTAATGCACGATCCATATTTTTACGTGTACTCTCCGAATTTTTGAATTTTTTGTGATTTGAAAACTTTCTTCTCATATGTATTTTTTATTTTTAAAATGTTTTGATCGGTGTTTAATATGGGGTGAATGAAGTTTAGAGTTATTTCAAAATTTTCTTCCTACGTCTATAAATATAAAAAGTCTAACTTTCTTAATACTCCTAGGTGCAGGCATATATTATAATAAACTATTAATGTAATGGGAGACGGAAGTGAAGTAATAGAACGCAAGTAGGTATTTTAAGCACTAAAAACATACTTATATACAGGGTTAGTAAAAAGTAAAGGGACGCTTAAGTTGTCTCGAAAACTGCCAAAGCTGGAATAATAAAATTCAATACGTGAGGGTTTTTGAACTCGCATAATTCAAAAATGCTAACGGCAATGTTGTCAGATTTACCACATTTACGTTAAAAGTAATAATTTTATTTTAAATGGAATGCCCTATTTATTTGGGTTGCAATGAACTGCCCATGTTGAATTAGGCAAGGTCTCGTGATATTTATAATTCTGGTAACCAATCACTGATACTAAAACCACCAAAATTCTAAGATGTTAAGATTTTTTTTATTTACAGAGGCAAATCTGACAACACTGCTGTTAGTATTTTTGATTTCTGTATGTTCAAAACTCCGAGGTATTGATTTTATCGTTCAAGCTTTGCCAGCTTTGAAATAACATAATTATGACATGTATCTTAATAGTTGTAAGTCTAACACCATTGCCGTTAGCATTTTTGGGTTATGAATGTTCAAAAACCCCTAGGTATTGAATTTTATCTTTCCAACCTTGAGCAGTTTCGGAGATATTAAGGCTTTCCGGTACTTTTTAGTAACCATGTATATAGTATATATAATCCTGTATAATATAACATTTAAATTATTTTGAGAATAATAATTTACGCTGGACTCATTTATTCAACAGATATTATAATATATTTTTCTAATTTTTCGAAATGTATATCTTACAGTCTTATAGTTCCAGCTTTGGCAGTTCTCGAGATATTTAAACGTTCTAGTATTTTTTACTAAGCCTGTATATATAACATATTATATTTAAATTATTTATATTATTACATATTTCTTGAATTTTCCGAAATATACATCTTACAAGCATTCTTAAATAAACATTGACTTTTCTTGCTTTTTGATGCATAAAACATCAAAAATATCATCAAATTTGTGCATCTCAATATCGTTTGTTCTAGTTTAATTTCGTAAAAATATTTTCATCAAGTAAAAGTTCAATTTTTGGAAAGTTATTTATAAATAATAAATTTTTTAAAAATAAATAAAATTAATTCGAATATCTGCCTTTTATATCGAGCGAATTTAAATAAGGTTTACAGCAGCGAAATTAATGAGAATAAAATGCGATGCAAATACTACAACTATTTGTAAATATAAATTGGGATTAAAAATGTATAAATTGAAATATTGAAATTGCTTTTTGGGTACTCACCGATGTGATATTAAATATTGTCAGGCATTTATCAATTTACTTTCAGATTTTCACACGATACCAAGGGAAATAATTACTGATCGAATGTCAGAAGTAAAATATCAAATTTCTTCGCAATTGATAAAAATTGCGGAGCTTCTAGTGTTTTCGAGTAGAGTTAGAAAACATCCCCAATATGATGCATATTTAATTATAGTAAAACTCAACGTCGTTGGCCAACTTTGCCAATTCGATAGTAACAAAAATGTCGCGACGCACGGACGTAATCAAAAAATATGAGAGTGTACCGTATGAAACCTATAGAAATGGAAATATATGATAGTTGGCCGGTGTATTCGTATGCGGAGCAGCACCAGCTCCCTAGAAAAATAATTCACGTGCTATGCAATTTAGTAATAACAACTGTGTCATATCTAGACTGTTTCGTAATAAAACACTTTTTACGACGCAGCTAGATACGTCATATGTTATTGTTATTTGGGGGTTTTATAGTTTTTCCCTCCCCCTCACCTTCCAATTGGTAAAAAGGGATGCCACGTACAACGAACTTCGAATCGAATGGTATTACATTCCAGCGTTTTAATGGCGATTTAATATTGTTTCAATTGTACGGATAGCCGAAACCATGGAAGCATTTCGGACAGCATAGTCATTGAACATTCGATAAAGATTAACGTCTTAAAAAGCGTATCAAACTCTAAAAAGTAAGTATGCAAATCCAATTACACGCGAGCTAAAAAGGCACGATGGAAATTGTTTGGCGCTTTAAATGTCGACTGGGGTTCGATAAAAATGCTTCTCGTGAAATTTAGTTTTAATATCAATTCAAACAACGACGTTGAGTTTTATTGAGTTTGGTTTTATTTTAGGGAATCGAATTATTTACACGGTGCTATAAAATACACGCAACATTTTAATTTAACTCTCTTTGCGTCTGCAACAACGCAGAAATTTAAACTGTCTAGCGGCATCATTTTGTGTTTACGTTTGATACGACCTGTAAAAGGTTTCACATGTTCCTAACCCTGCGTATTATGACATTATGCCACGGTATTAAGTCTCCCGGGTGTAATGCAGCCCTGACAAATAACGTTTTGGGGTTATTTCTTGCTAACAACGAGATTAAATACTCAAAACTTGGCCAATTTTCTTCTATCCGTTAATGAGAAAGTTGGCCCGAATTTCATTTACAGCGTAAATTTAACTTTTGTATTTTCAGACAATTGCTTTTATATTCCTATGCGCCAGTACAGTTACGTCAATATTGCTTACTTAAAAAATTTTCATATAAACCGTATAAACCCAATAATACTACTTATTATTAAAGCAAAATTGGTTTGTTGATATTATTAAAAAAACCCAATCCTACTTTTTCATTTAGAAGTCACCATACTTAAAATGTGTCTACACTTCCTGGTAAAGTCACTCAGAATAAGTAGTGTTTCGATTACGAATTATAATGTACTAAGGGATTATTTTCATCAAAATAAAAACTTTATAAGTGCGAGGAATAAAATTGCAAAGGTAAGTAACTACTACTAGTAGTAACAGAGGCTAAATAAATGAGTGAATTGAAGGTACCCCCTACAGGTACATGATTATTAATAAAATTAATTTAATAGGAAATCAAAGTAGTGAAAACGCAATTGTGCTTATTTTTATTCACTGTTTATTGAGGAAGGACCAGATGTAGTTTAAGGCAATCAAAAAATCGACGCTTTAATTTCTCGTTTTCATTGTTGTTATGTACATATGATTATATCTTGTTCTACTTAAAATGAGTTTATGAAATATGAAATGAAATATTTTTATCAAAATGATAAATAAATCGGCCATTTAGTTGAAATTTATGAAGTCCATTGTTAATTTAATAATAAGTAATAAACCAATACAGAAATAAATTTACTCACCAAAAAAGCAGCTGGGAATCCTCAAAATTACATAGATTTTTATTAATATATTTTCGGTATGAAAAACTTAAGTCAAAATAGTTTTCTTGAAGGATTTCTCGAAGTATTGAGGCAACTTGGAACCACACAAGACTTATCAGGCAGTTTTTTCCCACTTATTTCAAATTATTAGATTCTCCAACCCAAAAACTTGAAACTTGAAACTTTGCTTTCAGGCGGATCTTGACTGCTCGAAATGTTCTACAACAGCTTAAGTATTAGTGACTGTTTTCCAAAATACATCGCAACTATTTACAGGGATTCTAGTTCAACTTAGCTTAACGAATATATATTTCACAAAATTTACGTATAAAGGTCTGTCATATAAAGTCAACTTCACTGAATGTTATATTGTATGGGAACCCCAAGAAAATGAAACTACTTGACGAACTATTTACATGTTCTCTTTATAATGAAGTTAGAATAAAACTGTTAAAAGATGTGGAGTATTTACACCTAAAACAGGGCGCAGGTTTGATGTCCATTCTAAAACTTAGATCCTGTCTCATTAATGAATTTTTTTTTTGCTTTTTCATCGGTTTTCGGGAAATATTTTATAAATCGTTGTTTTCTGTTTGAATTAACTATAGCTTTTTGTACATAATAACATGTAGAAATCGTTTTTATAGGAATAATATTTTTTCCTTATTTGAATACTTTGTAAAGATATATTATCACTCATTGTTAAGAAACCCCAAATGTTAAATTGCGATATACTTTTTGCAATAATTCAATGCAAACCATTTCGAAAATCTGATATAATTTTCACATTTTCATTTTGGTGTCAACCCGTAACTTTAAAAAATTTGAACGCTCCCACTTTTTAAAAATAACTTTTTATTATTTAGTCACTCAAAGTTTGTAACAAACACCGAGTATAAAAAATGAAGGGGCACCTGGAATTTTCGTCACGCACAAAATTGTACCAAAATATGCTTAATCATAAAAAGTTTCATGTTATAAATGAGGTCTATCAACAGAATTAGTTGACCGGGTATGACGAATTCCGCGCTCACACCGACGACTTTAATAAATTTTAAAATAATTTTAAGGTATTAAAATGGTCAGGAAATTATTTGACTCTAAATTAATGAAGTATAAGCAACTATTCCCTGCACTAGACTCTCGCTTACCGTTAAGACAAAAGTTATACTTAACGGTTATGCATTACTTTTTAGACTGCCGAGCGAAACTTTTGTTTAACAGGAAGACGCTATATTAAACTTTATAGCTTAACGCAGCCCAAATTAACCGCAAAGTGAACTGAAACAAGTACAAAAGGAGATGCGTCTTTATATTCATAAATAAATTTGAGATAATAACTAAATTTTAACTTTCTCATTATCAGACCCAACTTCAGACACATCCGTTATTGGAGCACATTTGGAGAGAGATAATAAATTTAATAAAGGCCGTCTCAGCGTAATCATTAGTCTCTTTAAAATCTTAATGAGAGGAAAACCTCTATTCTTAAAATATCATTCATATTGCTCTCATTTATTTATTTCCCGTACGCTAAATAGGTGGTGGTAACAAGATTAAGGTCATTTACACCGATTTGAGGAAGCCATATTGGCGTTAACAACGTTTTGATTGATAGATTGGAATTAATAAACAGTTAAGCATCCATTGAGGTATTTATGCCACATACCTAACGTACTTTGTATATTTTGGCGCATTTTGCTGGCTACATTTAAGAAGACAAAATTTTAACTATCAATGCCGAAAGTATTGAATTTTAAATAAGCGAGTTTATATTACGACTCTAAAATAGCATCGGAGCAACAAGTTTTGCAGGAAACATCGACTTTAATTTAATTAATCCAGACTGGTAAGGCGATAGGAAAAATAAATTGTAACTTACGATATTTCTCCAAAAGCTGCAAAGGCATCCCTGAGGGTTTGGGTTTCGATTTCTGGACTTAGGTCGCCTACAAATATGTGATGATGTTCTGAAAAAAAAAAACAACATTCATTTGGTGTTTTCATTAAAAATAAATGCTAATAAATATTTGATAAATAATAAAAAAGATTACGTATTTATTTGTTACTCTTTAAGTCGATATCTGTTGATTTGCAGTGGATGATTCCCCTTCAACGAGCGTATTTTTATTTATTATTCATACGCCCTTGGCGGGTTATTGATACAATTAGTTACGTAAAATATTTGTCAAGGTCAGGTGGGACTTTCAAAAGAGAGTTTTTCTTTAATTCCATGTTGTAAATTCAGTAAAGGGGGGTAATTCAATTGAATGTTAAACAAATAAACAATTACAAGTTAGGCAAAACACCTTACTTTTTTATTTGTTATTTTCAATTGGGAATTGATGTTTCATTTCACAATGTTTCAGAACTTATTTTTGAGTAAATTCGAATTCCAATTTACACACAGTGGCATTACTAAGCGGCCTGTATGGTAATTAGCTGCTACTATCGTTCTAACTTCCGCGTACAACTTCATTCAATGAGGGCAATTTGAACAGATTGTTCCTTGTCACCTAATTAGACAGTCTATAGTATTTTGGCATGTTGTGTTCTTGAACTAATTGCGGATTAACACCGTTTGATTCTGATCCAAATTAACTGACTGCCTATCTGCATTAACGCATCACTTTTTGTTACGAATTCTTACTAAGTTTTCCGATTCATTGAAGAAACTAACCGAAAACTCCTATGAGGCCAAGGTCGCATTGACTTGTTTGGTTTGTTATTTGCAGACTGGGTGTCGTCTTCCAGCCATAGATTGCCGTACTAAATGAGTCTACGTCACCAAATATATTCCGGCAACATGCCAACTCTATTACAAGTCGATGTTTCATTTTTGACCGAAATGACTTCCCACACGTGTCTTAAAATGTGTCTTAAAAAGTAATACTGTATTTCAATATATTTTCGTATAATATAAATCATCTCTCCACGGTCGTATGGTTAAAACGAATTTTCCGAGAATTTCTTCGATGTGGAGTGAACCGATTAATGTGATCGAATATGGTTTGACAACGTTCTAGTAATAAAATGCCATTGATTTTAATTAATTGATGTCACAAGCACGTACGGTTTTGGAGGCAAAAGTACCCATTATTTAATTATGATTATTAATCAATTGATTTCGCGGATGGGGGATTAAGGATTACCGATGTGCGATATTGCAGTTAGGCAAATTCGTTCTCCCGTGTTGGAGAAGCAATTCGTTTGATTATTAATGGAAAGTTACACAGAGAGTTGAACACAAATAATCGGAATATCGGGATTAGGGCCAATTAGTTAAACGGCATGTCAATTAAATGAAAAAAAAAATCCAAACCTCTTGTAATCGATTAAATAGTAGAACAATAATATGTAAACGTGAGAGGATGTTTCAGCTGTCGGTTTTCGATGAAATAAACGACGCTTAAACCTCAAAAGCTAAAACGTTTGGATATAGTGACAGCGGGGGATGAGACAATCCTATGCCTACTCGCTTTTACCCTACACGACAATGGAACCCCCTCGCGCAATAAAAAGTTTGCCGAAATAAGTTTCACCCCGCACGAAGTTTGTTGCTGTTTCTCGATTTCAAGATTTTTATTAATATTTAAGGAAAATTTGAAAGGACCGCAACAAATCAATAACGCAGCGGATTTGGTTTGAAACAAAAAAAGACAAACACATGTATTTCTTTTGCGATAGTCGAAACGCACTGTAATTTGATTTAATTCGGGATAAAACGAAAACCGGGAAATTTCGCTGAAAAGGTTTTATTTAATCCCTTAATATAAAAGCGGAAATTCCGCCGGTTTCATTCGTGTCATCGGTAGCGCCTTTCAGATTCCTTTTTTTATGATTTAGAGTTCCTTAAAACGATGGCCTATTTCATCGGCAAATCCGAAATTTTGCCCAACCGTTCACTCATCTCCGCGAATGTTTTCCCTCGGTAAATGTTATTATGTGGGAACGCGTATTTTTTGCACCCGCTGGGCCGCTAACATTCGTAAATAAGCGGTTCGGGTTTGGATTTTACTAGATATAAATTTTGCAAGCTCATTCACAAATTTTGTCTGTTTTAAAAAGCAACTGAAGCAGCAAACTAGAAAGCGATGATTAATAGATACGAGCTGACCGGGCAGATATGGCAATCTACCCTTACATTACTGCACACGCACATTAATTTTGACGTATAACCATTTTCAGATGCCGTGAACTAGGTAAAAAATTAAATGCCGCGAAAATCAGGTTCCATTTTCCGATACACGCACTCAAGAGCACTTTATAAGCAATTATTGGTAATTCGGGTTCGTAGTAAGTTCGACGCTTGTTCCCCAAAGACTAATTTTTAATCAAAATCTCGAACAATCAATTTCGGTTTAAAGTTTACGAGATTCAGGGCCAGAATTAATTAGCGGAGGATTTCAGTTTTTAGCAAGAAAAAAGATCAGGTACTCTTGCAGGCAATCGGAAGAGTCTTTACTTTGCGAAAACTTCTGCGGCGCTTAAAACGAGGCTAATTAAAAAACACGGACGTTAAAAACACAATATGTTTTGTTGGCGCTTTGGATTCACCTGTACTCAATTATAAGTTAATCTGCAATAAAATTTTTATCACGCCATTAAAGTAATCCAGTTACATTTATGCCCAATTAATTAATTGGAGGCGGTACAAAGCTCCTCTACTGTTTTTCGATGGCCTTTTCTCTTAGATTGCGGTCGTACAATTTAACCGAATCCCGCGTAAACTAAACAAAAAAAAAAGCAAATTGATAACTCCAGTTCCTGGTCTCTTTCGGTTATTCGATTTATTTTGAATATTATTCTCAGTGAATAGTCGCACAGTCGACATCCATATCGCTGGTGAGAGAATATTTTCGTTGAGAAAATAAAGTACTAATTTCGGAGGGTCAAAGAAAGATCGTGTCAGGTAGGCAGAAAAACACGACTTTGAATTAAATAAACTCGAACGCTTTGAAAACTTTTCTGGAAGCTTTATCGCCCTCTCTTAAAGCATTAATCAAGAATATTTCCGAAATAACTCGAATATCTCTCGGAGATCTTAAAGGAAAAAGTCTATTGGTGTGGATTACCCGATACATCTTTTCCAATTTACGAAATTGCTGCGACAAAGTCCTATCTCTCGTGTTGATCAGCTTGAAAATGGTTGCCCCGTTTTTACTATAAAAAGTGTTGCGTGATCATACAAAATCGATACGCCTATAATTTTTTAAAACCCGCAACTGAATACCACACATATTGGCTAATGTTCCGTAATTATCAAGTCGATAATTTCAAATGGAATCACTGCTACGCGATAGTTATAATTTAACGCCCAACTTATTCAACCCCTTGAACAACAAGCGCAAAGTTCATTTAACTAGTGTTGGACTTGGGCGTATCTTCTGTAAAACTAGTAAAACAGGTCCTTTTTTATATGTTATTGACAAGAAAAAGGAAAGAAACTCGACGACATAATTTTAAATTCAAAATAAAACTCTCCGATGAAAGCTTTATTCTGTTCATTAAAATGAAACAGACACATCCAAAATTGTCCCTTAAACGTATTTTTTTTTTCAGTTTTGCAGCTCGATATTCGACAAACGCAGAGTTTTCCATCACACCGCTGTATATATAATGCAATAGCTTGTTTAATGAACTACGCTTCGTTTCTTTAGAATGGGCGAGTATTGTCCGCTATTTGGACGCAATTGCTAGTGCAGATGTCAAGGTCGTTGAGGAAGCTGAGGAAGAGAGGTAGAACGCGATGAATGAAAAATTGTAAAATTTATAACTCCGAAACCAATCAATTTCAAAAGTTAGCGGGTGAGCTTGAGTAATGGACGGGAGTTGGGTGGAAATTAATTTTTTATGCACCACACATGCGACAAGTAGAAGATCAGTAAAATGTTTTGCAGCTGCAAAGACAAGGAATGTGCGAGCGGAATATAAAGTAAACACGTTGACAGGTTGCTTGGGTAATTGCGAAAGACGGCAAAGCCTTTGGAACTTTGGAGATGCCAATATGTGTCCCAGTAGATTTTAGCAAGGTCTAACTTATGTTCGACACGAAGGTAACCGGCACTAAACTGGAATAAGGAATTGATCTCAGCCTGTATGCCATCGAATAAAATAAATTCAAAACATCAATCATTAAATTCAAAGTCGTTCTCGATTCGTACGTTATCCAATACTCCGTTGTTGCCTATTTTCCGAGGCGCTGAATTATTTATTTGGGATTAACTTAGACGCAACATATCGGTAATGTTAAGCCACAGCGATAGCGTCGAAAACATAAGCATATTGTGGCATATAATCCTTGGGGAATTTCACATTAGAATGTTTGCTTCTAGAATATAATATCAACCGTGGCGTGGGTAATACCAGATACCCACAAAAGCCATGCGCCGACAATCACAGCCCTTTAATCTTTTAACGGAATCTAGAAATAAGTTACATTCAAATTTCGTTTGGTATCTAGATAATATTCAACAGTTTTTATTGACCCATATACCTACGTTAAATTACAGCGAAATGTCGTAAATATTTAACCTGTGTATTTACGATATACACAGCTAATGTCGCCGTTATTTGGGTAGCTAAATGTGGAAATGAGAGCAAATTCAAAATGAGACGCCCAAAACCGTTTTGCAAAAGTAATTTTAAACCAACACCACTTTGCAGCCAATAGCGAGACTCGGGAATATTTCTACTTTAAATAATAATGCTGTATAAGGAAAATTTATTTCTATAGTAGCGAAACTTTTTAAACTTAAAATGAAAATACAAAAGCCCAAAGAATATCGTCTTTAATAACGTAGATTTTCATAAAATGACGTTCTTTTTATCTCGAATTTTGTAGTGATTTGCGATTAATTTTTTGAATTTTTTCCTGATACTTACGTATTGCGGTAGGAATTTCCTTACATCCAGTTACTACTAAACAATTATAAAAAATATATAAATGCTTTTTGAGGTGCCGATACTGGGGTAAAGAATGGAATAGTAAGCTTCTTTATACTGTTGACTAGCATTTCGCTGTTATTATTTTGCTCCATTAGAGCCGTCCGTTGAGCTTATCCTATATTTTTTCTATATTAATCCATTTCAATCAACGTATTAAATATATTTAGGAATGATTGCTGACTTTGAATGGTTGCGTAATAGCTAGCAACAATGTTGACTGGCACCCCTAACTAATAATATTCTACTTAATACATTTTGTTTTAAACGAATAAAAGCTGCTTATTATTATTATTATTATTATTATTATTATTATTATTATTATTATTACATAACATAACACATAACACATATAATAACACAACAGTTGTTATTCTATTATTACTATTACTATCAAAATTATTTCATAAACATTAAAGAATATGTGGTCACTTAGGATTGATTCTTTAAATGCGGTTTGTGTGTAAATTAAATTTCAGTAGGTATATATAAGTAACGCGCGGTGCTGGAAATATAAAACAGGCAACAGAAGTCAAACATCTAGGTAAAATAGTTTTATCTTCCTATTTAGATTTTTCATATGTTAATTTGTTATATTTCCTTTGACATGGTAAGTGCGTTTTTCTTTTTTTCGTTCTTCAGCTTAGTAAATGTATACATTATGAAGACTAGATATATCTGGGACTAGTTGTTGCTGAGGTTGTATAAAAGCAACTATGTTGGATGTCGCCTCCAAGTAATAACATTCTACTTAATCTATTCTGTTTTCAATGAACAAAAGCTGTTTATTATTGTTATTACTATTATATAACACAAAACAATTAAGTTACTACCAAAATTATTTAATAAGGAAAAAAAATAAATCTAAGTTTAAGGAATAATTTAAAAAATGAATTTGCGAGTCTATTTAGACGATTTTTTCTGTAAATACGGACGGTGTGTAAATTGTAAATAATGGATTTAAAAATTTTGATCTATCTAATTAACAAAAATATTCGGTAGGCATATATAACTATCACCGGTTTTTCAAAATAAAAAACAGAACGGTCCTTGATGGTTCTCAAAGAGCAAACATCTACGTAAAAAGAATTTTTTCGCTGTTTAATCGAGGATTGGTTCTCTAAATGCGAATTGTGTGTTTAAACAAAAGGCTGTTTATTTTTATCGTTATTATTATACAAGACAAAAGCGGTTTGAAACTTAAAAACCGTTACTGCTGGTTATGGGATTTCCTTGAACTATAAAATTACTAATAAAAAAAAGCATCTTTAAAAATTTAAATGTAAGGAGTTACTTAAAATAAGGAATTTAGAGGATTGCTTCTATTTTTCAATTTCGTTTAAATTTTAAAAAATGAATTTAAGTAGGCATATATAAAAAATTGAAGGGATGTGTATTATTGTTATTCCAATTTGCGCAAGTGATTTTGTTAAAATCTTACCAAATGTGAATAATTCCCCAAAAAACCAATTAAGAAAAATCAAGAAATGCGACTAAAATCGTAATTTGGAGAATTACAATGGCGTAGCAAGTTTGAATAGCCCGCAAATTGAACAATTTGGTTTATTTAATCAGTGAAGAAGCAATAACTGTAAACATGCGATGTGGTAGGTGCCTCCCCTTTGTCTCGGTTTAAATCGCCAATCATAAATAATGTCCGAACAGTATGGGAGGAATTCTGGAAATTTTGTTAACATTAAAGGGTGCGAGTTTTAATGAGGGAAATTTTGGGCACGTAAAAGCCGAAGCTTGTTCGTTGTTTTCGCCTCCATTAGACAAAAAGTCACCCCCGTGTTCTCTTATTTTTAATTAGTAGGAAAAGAATGGTCAATTAACGTATTCTCCGCATTGCGGACAGCCACAGGGTGCTTCACTTTCAGCGATGTTTACCGAGTTTATTATGATTAAATTTCCTTAATTAAACGTTGCGTTATATAGAAATGTGAAGTGGGCGAAACGCGGAAGAAGTTAGTAAAAATGATTCGTCGTGGCAGTGAGAACGCGCTGGATTAAGCATTAAAGCACGTTGCAGGTGTTCGGATAATAAGGACGAGGCAATATCTGCAGCGTGTCTAAAGAAAGTTGTGTCGCGCCGCAGAATACGCCGTAGTTCCTTTGTTATGGTCTGGGGATGCGGCGTTCCTGTTGAAAACTAAATCCGGATTGGTCGTCACGTCATCGGAAGCACATGTTGATCGTATTAAATATTTTTATTATCACCGTTGCGTACCTGATTTTGCGACGGACGTCGTAACTGGTGCCATCGCCGCGTTGGTACTTGTCGGTGGAGTATGGTTGATTCTAATCGCTTCTAATTTCGGCACCGGCAACAAACCCGGTGCTGGCATGCTAGCCGCCGTTACGGCCGAAGCCGGCATCATCAGCGTCGACATAGCCAACATTTTGCCTCGATTGGACCGATTAGGTTTAGAACAAAAAATTTTTTCGAACCCGTGAAAAAGTTTCCGAACTGCGAGACGAGAACTCGCGGCGAGAGTCGCTTGAAATATGTGGCTCAGGCACACTAGGCACACGGCCCGCAACTCAAAGACTGCATAACGCGGCCTGCTGTGTTGTGTCGTGTTCACTCGGGGGTAGAAGGACGTGGGGGTGGAACAGTTATAGTGGCCGTGCTGGCGCGAACGGCGGGTTATTCCAACTGCGGCAAACTGGAATCAGCTTCGGCGCTCTACGCGCAATGTTTGTGGGCCTCGGCTTAATGGGCTGCAGGAGCGGAATAGATCATAAACTAGACCATCCGAAGGGTAATTTGATTTGGCCCACTTATTTATTTGCCGTTTCTTCTTTATTCGTTATTTCGTCTACTTTTCCCCCTCCCCCACCACCCGAGCCGCATTGGGGCAAAAAAGCAGCTATGCGGAAAATATTTGGTAACTTACAGAACATAACACATTTTTACGAAAACAGGCTAAAACAAGAAGAGTTTGAACAAGATTGCTTTCAAAAAATCGTCGGTGGGCGGGGCAAGTTCGTAGCGCGTTGCGCTAAGCAGCTTATTATTTTAAAAAGAATGCGCTTCGCGGTTTCTTGTCCTAGATGGACGCATTGTTTTTCGATCGTGCTCCTGCGGACCACCATGAAACTTTCGCAAAATCGATATAATTCAATTGTGTATTCACCCTGTATAAAGTGTCTTTTACATCTCGTCGAACTTCAAAGTAAATACAAAAATTTGTGCAAATAATAGCGATTTCCAGTGATATTTTTTCAAATATCTCGCGCATCCTGTACGATAGACGAAACCTGAAACTATATCTCGACACAATTTACGATACTGTTTAGATCAAATTATCAAATTTTTATAGTTTTTCTTTTACGGCTATTAATTTACCCACGAAAACGAAAGTTTTCAGGATCTTTTATATTTTTTGCCTATTACCGACACACCTGCCAGAAATAGAGGTTCTCGTCCTAGATCTCCTACAATTTCCTGTCCATGAGAGAAAATAATAATAATTATTTTCTGAAATTATGCAGTACGCCATAATGGTAAATGTATAGACTGAGTCCGAGGAATAGTGATTTTCATATGGATTTTTTCAAAAATACCTCGAGCAGCGTGTGTGTTAGACGAAAACCGTAAATACAATAAATTGTAGCTCTTCATGAGCCCTATCGCATTGTTTGAACCGATTAGCCATATTTGTTAAGAATTTTGAATGACGATTAATCATTTATTCCCGAAAAGAACAATTTTCATTGTATTTTAGATTTTTGTCCTTAACTAAAGCACCCTGTATATCATCGACAAAATGCATAAAATGAAAGTTATAGCCCGGATCTCCCGTACCTCACGGTTTTAAAATTTTGCCGATCGATTATGGAGGAAAACATACTTTTTTGGAAGCCAAAATAACCAAAAAAAAATTTCATTTTTTAAAAAATACTTGTTGAAATTTGATCGCACCCATATTCTACTATTTAAATGTGTGCATGGATTTTTTCTTCTCTGCTATGTTTGAAGTTGGTATCTGCAAATTTAGGACACTTAACACATTTCTTAAATTGCACCGAATATAGGGAACACCCTGTAAAATAGGTGAAAACCTTAAATACAAAAGTTTTAACTATCTATACGGGCTGTATCTTAATGTAAAACAAAGTTGCATCTGGATCATAGTCTTTCCGTTATAGCCAATTTTTAATAATAGTGGGACCAATTTTTCAGTTTTTTCAAATTTACGGCGCACTCTATACAATTTTAAAAAATTGTCAAAAACAAAAGTTTATGGAGTCGAATTTTCTGCGTTTTTTTTATCAAGATTTTTTCGATCCCATAGATGGTTTTTGAAAAATAAAATTTGATTTCATCAGCTTTCGAAAGAAACAAGACCTGTTCTTTATGCAGTCAACAATGATGAGAAAATCTCACTTTATAATGACTATGAAATTTTGCAAAGTGCAAAATTATTACAAAAACTACAAAACAAAGCATTAAAAAATGTAATAATCATTTACTAATTACAACTTATTAAGAACTATACAACGATGTTTGTTTTTCCAAGGAAGATTTTACGGCACTGAGCATATGCTCCTACCTAATCCTAATCTTAAGCAACGACTTCTACATTCACTTTATCTAGATTCACTTTACTCTCTCTTACAGGATATTAAAAGGCTTCTTGCGATACTCTAGTATCACAGTTTAATCATTCTAACAGCATATCTAGATAATATACAGAAATATCGTATTCCAAGAGTTCAAAGCTCTTGTCTTATATGTATATGGAGTTGGGCGTAGAACTCATATTTCATCATATCTTGTTAGGTCAAACTGATTGAATATGTTCAATCGATATAAACTTCACGCCGTGTTATTCCATTGCACAATCATTCAATGTACAACATGGAGTCTCCTTACTGTGCATCGAAAAGTTTATCTGAAAAGGCCCTTCTCATACCAAATTGTAAACATGATTCATCAAAATGTATCTTTTATAGAATTTTCTCTGATGTTATTGGGCCTGAAAAATAAGTTTAAAAATTGCCTTTTGGGTAAGCAAACTTTTACTTAGATACTCCCTGGTCCTTAATTTCCTGCCACTTTCACTCCTGTTTCTTTGCGCCTGTTAGTTTTATTCTAATTTTGGTCTGTAATAGTATTTAGCTGCTTTCTTAGCCCTTTGTTATCAAATTAAATGTATATTAAATATAAAATATCCGATGGAGAATCATATTTTTACATTGATTAATAAAATTTTAAAAACAAAACAGTCGTCCGACTCACAATAGATGTTAAAACCACATAGTCACCTATAATACCGGAAATGTAAGGAAATTTAATATTTCACAACTAGAATTGCAATTTAAAACATTTATTAAAACTAAGATTTCATGTGTGTACCCTAAAGAGTTAACGTTTGGAAATAAAACAAATTTTTTGTGCCTTGAACGCCTAGACTTCCTTTTTTCCTTGTATCCCTGGGTCTTTTTTTTCACTCAGTTCTGTTTTACTTTTGTTTTTTGGTTCAACTAATGTGTTTTCCATGTGGCATGGCCTAAATTAACCAAATTATGTTATTCACGCATCATAAGGTTATTTTTACCCCATTCATTGTGAATGTTGTGCAAATCAAAGATTTATATTTTATTCTCTTATATCCGGCAAACTATTATACTATTCCAATTCCCAACATATTTATTAAGTCACACATTTGAAAATATGTATTTTGAGTTCCTTTAAAATTTGAGTGACTGTAGAATTTATTAGAACTAGTGAAAATCCCATGACTCTTTCCTGGCTTAATTTCTTTATAGTCTATTCATTATCATTGGTTTCCGATTTAACTGGAATAGAATATTGCAATATTGCAATACCTTTACTGCAAAACTAGTTCAAAACGTTCCAATCAGATTTGAACATAAAAAAATTCATAGAAAATATAAAACCCTTGAAAAATAAATAGTGCCTAATCATAAAACTTGTTAATAAATATACAATATAGAAATAATTTGAGCACAAACTTTAGGGATTTTGTACCGTTTAATCTCATTTTCACAAAATTTATTGACAAAATATACTTTATATACTTTGCAAACACGAAACTTGATATTTTTTCCGCTTTCGTTCCAAAGCGAGCGACGTCAAAAACAAAAGAAACAAAGAAAAACTCAAAAACACGATTCACAACTAACAAAATTTTTCCAATAAACTTTTGGCAGGAAGAATAATGCCTCCTGTGGGAGCGTAACCAGCAAAACTAACTAAATAATATGAACAATAACAAATAACAGCAAAAAAAAACGCTCTCTAAGCCGACAAAATTCAGAAGATATAACTTAAAAAATGACTAACAACCTCACTCTGCTGGCAGGGAAAAGAAAATTTATAACAAATGTATGTGACATTACTATTATAAAAAAATCCAAAAACATGAAACGCCTATAACGCAAATAATTATCTCTGAAGCTTGAGCAAAATCATTGTCAATTTTTTTCAGGCTATAGTGCGGAAGTTCGTCTAAAAAAACGATTAATTTTTGGTTAAGTATTGTCCGCTCCTATGTGCTACTTAGGAGGAGTGTTTTTGTCGCCTCTTTGTTATTGCGTATTTCATTATTCCCTGAGTGGAGATGTAAGGTATGGCCGAATGTGTCGTAAACTAAAAATGGCAAGTTTTACCACCCAGTTACCGGGTACAATACCGTTTACCGATCGACCACTCGATAATTTTTTTTTGACTTCAGCCACACCCACGGTTAATGAAATATAAAATTACCGTTTTCCTCGGTAACGCGAATTTATTATGCTGTAAACTCTCTCATATTTACAGGGTTATAAATATATATTTATTGCAGGAAATTTTTACGAACAGCACCTGCCACCAAATTTTCCGTACGATATTCGGGTTAGATTTAATTTCGACCGAATATTAATTTTATCCTGATGCCGTTTCAGATTTAGAGCTTAGTTCGATCCGAATTTTTGTTAGAACCCTTTTAATGCGGAACAATTCTACTTCAGCTTGCTAACACGTTGTATAAGCGCATACATCAATACTTTTAAAATGTTATTCCGTGATACATCGCCTGCCCGATACGTCATTGTGATACAAATGCCATTTTATCGAGGGGACAACAACGTGAATGGTCCCAGTTTTTGAAATATGAGATATATTGAATAAAAAGTTATACGAGAAGATACTTCAAGGGGAAATATTTTAAAATTACACTTCCAGATGAATTACTCATCATGTTAACTTAGCAATCCAAAGTGAACTTATCTGCGTTCTCAAGTGGAAGAAAATAAAAGAGCGACGATCTAAAAACCATGCGCCAAGGGAACAAAAAGTTCCATTTTCCATCACATTACATTTTAAATATATTCTATATTTTAAAATTATATTTTAAACGAAAACATCTTTGCCCGTTATTCGGAGCATACTTTTTCCCTTAAACGCAGTTTATAGCGTTTGATAGGCAAAAGAAAATGAAGTTTTTCACAATTTAAAAGAAATTTGGTTTTGTTGTCGAGTTCAGGTTCCTTAATGTCGGTCTTTTTTTGTATTTTATAATTTTCCTGTCTCATAACGACCCAAAGTCTACATGAAAATGCAGAAATTATTTTCTTTGTTTCGAAAATATTTTTTATTTATGAATAAAATATCCAAGTAGTCGGCAAAT